CAGGCTGGAGACTAAGGTGCACCTGATCTGGGCTACAGTCTTCACAATTACGTGCTATGCATCCGAGAGTTGGACAGTGAATAGGGTTGATGGAAAAAGAATTGATGCCTTTGAGCTGTGGTGCTGGAGAAGAGTGTTGAATATACTATGGACTGCTAGGAGAACAAACAGGTTTGTCCTGGAGAAGGTGAAGCCGGAATGCTCCTTGGAGTCAAGGATTCTGAAGCTTCGTCTGACATATTTTGGGCATGTTGCAAGGAGGAACTGGTCCTTGGAGAGGGACATCATGTTTGGCAGAGTGGAGGGGCGGCGAAAGAGAGTAAGACCTTCAATGAGATGGATCAATTCTGTGACTGGAGTGGTGGGAATGAGTGCATTTGAGACGGCTAGGTTAGCATAGGATAGAATGGCGTTTAGAGCTCTTATACATAGGATTACTATGAGTCGCAAGCGACTGGATGGCACATAACAACAACAATTTATAATTAACACAGTATTTCTGCACTAAATTTTTTTTAATTTTGCCTTATGTGAGGTAAAAACAAAGTGTATGCTGTTTGCCTATAAAAGGAAAAACATACCAATATCAAACTTTTGAAAAAGATCATTTTTAGACAAAGCAAGTAGGAGTAATGCAATTGGTGATAAATTTTATCAGGGTTTTGAAGAATGGCTAGGATTTTATCATGTACAAATAAAGCGACCCAAACTCCCATAACAGCAGTCTCTAGCAACCCCTCCTGATCTTTCCCACAGTACTTATCACCATCTGTTATACTGGGGAATAGAAATCCTCTTTCTGCCCAGAAAGAACTGTGAGACTCTACTTGGTTAGTTCAGTATTACCAGAGAGAACTCTCCTAGCTGTAAAAAAAAAAAAAAAAAAAAATTAAAAAATTAAAAAAAAAACAGCACAAGCAAAGGTAAAGAAGTGGAAAAACCAAGAGTGTTTTCAAGGAATAGTGTGCACCCTCATATTAGAATGAAATATTAGAATGGAAGGTACCCATTAGAACATTTGGGGAGATAAAGTCAGAAAGGTAGGCTGATGCCAGATGGAGAAAGGTCATGAGCTAACTGGACCGTCTGTACTGTAGTAACTTCACAGGCAATGGGGAGTACCCCCCACCCCCGCATGGCACTGGACAGGGAGCCCCAGGTGTGAAGTGATGGCAGCTTAATCTAGCCATGATCTCCCAGGCAGTGAGGTAACCAGGAAGATAATTACAGTAGTCCAGGTGTGAGAATAAGACCTTGCTCAGGTGGAGGAAGTGAGAGTACAAGGCAGTTTTGTGAAAGGTCATCAGATTCTGACATGTGGAAAATGAGTGTTAACACCCTGAGTGAGGCTTTCACCTGGAGGCACAGGACAACAGACACCATGAATGAAAACTGGAGACAACAGGAGGAGCTCAAGCCTCAGAGGTGAACTAAGAAGAACAATGAGTTTGATCCCAGCCTTCCTGTCATGCTGTCAGCCAGGCATTTAACCAGAAACAACCCTGTCCATGGAGAGCTGCTCCACCCAGCCGCCTCACCCAGCCCCAAACCCATCAGGGGCTGTCAGGCCCTGATACTACCGCAGGCACCCGAGGTCTACAGCTCTGTATCCTTTCAACCCTTTTCCTTCCCATTTAGCGTCCATTTACTTCCTAGTCTTCCTGACCTGACCTTTCTCTCTCATTTGATCCCATTTTTGTCAAAAAAAAGAAAAAAAGGCATTTTCTCAGGAGTGCCAATCCTGCCAACTGCAGACCAGATGAGCACTCCTAGCAACTCATGAGTGGCAGGTCAGGCGGATACATACCCCCACAGTCATCAGCTCCTGCTGGCCCTCACTTGAGGAAGGGGAGAAGGAAGAAGGGGAAGCAGGAGATGAAAAAGCAGGACTGAGGTGGAGAGGGGCTGGAGCAGGATGGGGTGGAGCACAAGGATGCCTATTGCTCCTCCTTTTCAGTTTGCAACTGTAGGCAGATCTTACTGTCACCAGACCATGAGACCATGTGCCAGCCCCTCTTACCATATGGGATACTCTGAGGTAGCAGAGGTGGGAGTTTCTGCTTACCAGCTCACGTATCTTGCTGAACCCAAATAATTTCATCCATTACCCCTGAACTACTTAACTCTATCCTATCACACTTGTCTCCCCCTCCCAAGTACCATTTCTGCGCAGAAAATCAAGCTTTCAGTAGGCACAGTGGGCATTCAGATGGGCCACAGTTCAGCCAAGACATTTAGGACACTGAGGTAACCAGAGTGCAGACAGGGCTGAGGGAAGTGTCTTGCGGAGTGTCAGTGAGGGTGGAGGTAGAGAAGGTCCCCTGGGGATCCTCAGAGCTGCTGGAAGTCAATCTGACAAGCTCTGAGCTGTAAAGCAGTGCTGTGCTGCCCGGGGAGACCAGGGCACACTGCCCAGTCCCAAGTCTTCTCAGGCCCAGGTGAAGATAAATCAACTGCACGTGTAATCTAAGCATCATAAGCTTCTTCATCCCATCCCAGCCTCCAGGACATCCTCCTTCATCCACACTCATCTTCCACCCCCACAGTGATCTCCGACTCGAGTTAGTCCAGCACTTGGGCCTGGTTTTAGTCCAGGCATGCTTCAGGCTGGCCCTCCCTGCCACACCCACCTCTGAATCTCACCATGCTGCTGAGGTGCCAGCACGGGGTGTGGCATTACTCTTTAGTCCAGGGAATCCCACTGGGCAAACTTTTGCCATCTTCTCGCCTCACCAGGAGATCTGTTTGGTTTTATAGACTAAGACAAAAATCTCCTAAGTAGCCCAGCCTTCTAGGTGCATGCCTGAGGGCTGAGAGCACCCAAACTGCCATGGACAAGAGAGGGACGCCCGTTCTTTGACTGCTATCGTGATATAGCAAGTCTTTCGGTAGGTGGCCCAGCAATGACATGAGAGCCAGAGACCCTTAAATATGTCTGATGAATAACAACGGGCAGAGAATTCTGGTTGAGATGAGAACCAGGGCCTCACCTCAGGTCAGCCAAGGACCTGACCGTTTGGCGGATGACACCCCTTCTATGGCAGCTGGAGGAACAGCAATCATAGAAGCCATATCAGCATTCGGCTCTTTGATCTAGAACCTAGGAACTCAGATGCCTTTCTGTTGTTGTTGTTAAGTACCATAGCGACCCTATGAATGAAAGTCTTCAACACTTGCATGTGAGACTTTCATCCCTTCTCCAGGTTCATAGGGTTTCCGGAGACAAACTGTTTACAGAAGTGGATGCCATTCCTGCTTCCAAACTTGTTTCACCAGGGGAATGCCACCGAACACTGTCTACCACAGGTAACCGTTATCGCATTTGACACATCAGTGTCACAGTGTTCAGCCTCACAGCGACCACAGGTTACCTCTGTACAGCAAGTGGACACACCAGGACATACGACCTAGAAGAATGTTTGAAAAAAAACCAATGAAAAACAGGCCTTAGGGCCACGGATTAGAGGCACCCACCTTTGGCTTGGTAGCATCGCTTCCGGTCCACTAGGCCAACTGGTAAAAGTCCTGATAAAAGGCTTTCCAGCTGCTGTGGAGAGAAAATGAGACCTCTTATTAAGTGAAGGTTCTGCCAGTTGATGGTCATGTCCTGGTAACCTCCTCTCTATGTCAGCCTTGCAGTTGCCCCTTCACAAGGCACTGAGCTAAAAGAGAATGTGGGCACGCCCAGCAGCACATACTTGCAGCCAGGGGACACCTAGGGAACCAGGTGGCGCTGGGGACTCGGGGAGGGAAGCCAGGTGGAATGACACTTCCAGGCAGAGAGGCTTTTTACAGGAATCCTGTGGTCCGCTAGGGACAAAGAGTCAGTGGTGTCTCTGTCTCCGGGACAGCAGGGGACACTCAGCCAGCCTCTGGAGAGGGAACCGCCCTCCCCATCTCAGAAATCGTGGCTGAGCCCTGGAGCATGGTCTGTGCTAGAAACATCCATGCTTTCTCTCATGTCATCTCTAAAACCAGGAGGATGGCACAACCGTGCTTGCTGAAACTGAGGAGGATCTGAAACGCTTGCTGCAGAGGGTCAAGGACTGCAGCCTCCAGTATGGATTGAGGCTCAATGTCAAGAAGACAAAGATTCTCACCACTGGACCAATTGGCAGCATCAGGATGGATGGTGAAGAGATTGAGACTGTACACAGCTTTAGCTTGCTTGGCTCCACAGTCAACAGTCTTGGCACCAGCAGCCAGGAAATTAAAAGGCGCATTGCCATGGGAAAGTCTGCTGTTAGGGACCTCTCCATGGTGCTGAAGAGCAATGGTGTCTCTCTGGAGACTAAGGTGCGCCTGATACAGGCCATGGTTTTTGCAATCACTTGTTATGCATCAGAGAGTTGCACAATGACCAAAGAGGATAGAAGGAGAATTGAGGCCTTTGAGCTGCGGTGCTGGAGAAGAGTATTGAATGTTCTGTGGATCGCCAAGAAAACAAACAGATTCATCCTGGAGAGGGTTAAACCAGGCTGCTCCTTGGAGGCAAGGATTCTGGGGCTTCGTCTGACATACTTTGGACATGTTGTAAGGAGGGACCGGTCCTTGGAGAGGGACATCATGCTTGGGAGGGTGGAGGGACAGCGCAGGAGAGGAAGACCCTCTATGAGGTGGATTGATTCAGTGACTGGGATAATCGGGATGGGAGTGTCAGAGACAGTGCGATTGGCACAGGACAGAGCGGAGTTTAGGGCTGTTGTACACAGGGTCGCTATGAGTCGCGAACGACTCCACGGCACATAACAACAACAAGCGTCGCATCACCTCCATTTCTGCTAAGGGGGACGCTGAGGTTCAGGGGATGTACCAGCTGCCCCCCATCCGAGGGTTTCTCGTCCCCCCGGCAGCCCGCTGGCTGATTAACAGAGCCGGCGATGGACTCACAGCGGTTGGGGGACGCGTCCCCCCCAGGCCCAAGGAAGCGGGGCAGCTCTGCAGCTGAACCTCCAAGTGCGTTAGCTGAACCCCAGTCGAGCCCCCCACCCCCAACACAGGGGTTCAGGACAGCTCGCCCCCCGCGTCCAGCCGCTGCCCGAAGCCCCCGCAGGTGGCCCGCCCGGCCCGCCCTCGGGAGTACCTGTCGGCGGCGCTGCCTTCGGGCGGCCGGGGATGACCAGGGACTCGCCACCTCCGGCCCCCGGCCGCTCCGCCTCAAAAAAGCTGCGGTCCTTAAAGGGCGCGGACGCCGGGGACGCCGCGGAGGGCCGGGCAGCGCTGGACCCTGGAGGCCGGCTGGCCTGGCCTCCTGCCCTCAGTCCCCTAGTTTGCTCCTCCACAGCCGGCTGACCCCGTCGCAGCGCCAGCGCACCTCAAAAGGAGAGCGCGCAGGCTTTCGCGCCCCAAAGTCAAACGCTCCGGGCTCGGGGGGGGGGGGGGGGGCCCGCGAGGTTCCCATGGCAACGCGAGGCGGGCAGTGTGCGCCTGCGCCGACGCGCGAAGCACGCTGGGAAGTGTGGTTTCGCGCCGTCGCCCGAAGTGGCGGGCACGGCCGCAAGATGGCGCCCGCGCGGCGCGCTCCGTCCGGGCCTCCCGGCTCTCCCGGCCCCGGCGCATTTCCGGGGGCTGCTGCCCGCGGAGAGGCCGCGGAGGCCTGAAAGGTACTTAGTGTCTCGCTTAGAGACGTCGTCGGGGGATGCGGGGGCGAAGGGGCGGTTGAAAGCAAGTCCAGGCGCCTTTCAATGGCGGTCGGCACCCGGGCTGGCAAATAGGAGGTGGGGGACCTTTCTCGCCCCTAAGAAGCTCTGGTGTGAGGGAGTTCGGGTTGAAGCTTTGCCGCGGTGACCCTCCGCGGAGTTCTGGGCAGTTCAAGACCCGGGTACGTCGTGGAGGACAAAACTGCCGCCGCGGCTGGTGGACCCCTCCTCCGGCGGCGGCTCCCTCCACTTCCCGGGGCTGAAAACCTGGAGACCTGGTTCAGAGCCCGTCAGAGACGCCGTTACCCTAACCTGGTGGGCAGGTGTGTAGGATGCGTGTCCTCGCGCTCCCCCCGGGAATCGGACCAGGTTCCCGGGAGATGACGTTGATGGGGAAGCCCTGCCGCCCTTTAATTTAGAGACATTCCTGTTTTCCCCAGTCGTTGGCAGTTGGCTGCAGCATCTTGGAAGGGAAGTAAAGCAACAACTCTCAAAATTTAGAAAGCTCTGTCAATTCTAAAATATGAGCCTGTTAGTTGGCTTTTGTAAATTTCGCGACTCCCTTGCTGTTTGTTTCCAAGGAGTGCTATTCTAGTTATATATGTATTTCTTTATGGGTAAATTATATGCAAAGACGAGGTATCCACAAGGGACCCTATATGTGAAATTGGGGCATGAAGGAACCCAGTTTGTAAACAACCTAAATGTTCATTAGTAAATGACTACTTCAATAAATGATGGAACCTCCATAAAATGGAATATGGGCGAATTTTTAAAGTAGCGTTGTTCTTATGTGCCGTCGAGTCGCTTGCGACTCATAGCGACCCTGTGTACAACAGCCCTAAACTCTGCTGTGTCCTGTGACACTCCCATCCCAATTACTCCAGTCACTGAATCAATCCACCTCATAGAGGGTCTTCCTCTCCTGCGCTGTCCCTCCACTCTACCAAGCATGATGTCCCTCTCCAAGGACCCGTCCGTCCTTACAGCATGTCCAAAGTATGTCAGACGAAGCCCCAGAATCCTTGCCTCCAAGGAGCAGCCTGGTTTAACCCTCTCCAGGATGAGTCTGTTTTTCTAGCAGTCCATTATACATTCAATACTCTTCTCCAGCACTACAGCTCAAAGGCATCAATTCTCCTTATGTCCTCCCTAGTCATTGTCCAACTCTCTGATGCATAACAAGTGATTGCAAAGATCATAGCCTGTATCAGACACACCTTAGTCTCCAGAGTGACACCATTGCTCTTCAGTACCCTAAAGAGGTCTCTAACAGCAGACTTTACCATTGCAGTACGTTTTTTTATTTCCTGGCTATTGGTGCCAAGAGTGTTGACTGGGGAGCCACCAGACTAAAGTTGTTAACAAACTCAATCTCTTCACCATCCATCCTGATGCTGCCATTTGGTCCAGTGGTGAGAATCTTTGTCTTCTTGACATTGAGCCTCAATCCATATTGTAGGCTGCAGTCCTTGACCCTCTGCAGAAAGCATTTCAGGTCCTCCTCAGTTTCAGCAAACATGGTTGTGTCATCTGCATAACGCAGATTATTAATAAATCTTCCATCAGTCCTCACACCACACTTCTCCTCATAGAGCCCAGCCTCTCGGATAATCTGTTCTGCACACGGGTTGAAAAGGTATTTAAAGTGAGGAAACTGTTATGTACTGATTAATGTGAAGTGCATCAGGATATGAAGACACGTGCCAAGTGCAGGGTGATATATTAATACACTGTCGTCTGAGTATCTCTGGGGCACAGTACCTTCAACACTGGCCTGCCAACAACAACCCAGCATCCTCTCCGTAGGAGAAAGATAGAGCTGCCTGTTTCCATAAAGATTTACAGCCTTGGAAACCCTATGGAAAATTCCCTGCCCTGCACGGTTGCTACAGGAAGCTGTGGGGTCCTTGTGGTAAGAAGCTGCATTATAATCGGAAAGGCTCACAGTTCAAATCCAGCAGTCGCTCCACAGGAGAAGGATGGGCAGTCTCTTCTGTGGGATTTACTGCCTCTGAAAACTGACTGGAGGGTCAGGGATGGTTTGGTTCCCGCTCAACAACAACGTAGGGTTGCTATTGGTTGAAACTAACTGGAGGATAATGGGGATTTTGTTTTGTTTTGTTTTAACAATGTGTGAACTTTGTATATACATAGAATGTTCAGTCATTTGCCTGCCTCCCCCCCAACCCCCCACCCCATGGTGCTAAAAACATGCACACCAAAATGTCCTCAGACACAACCGCATCCATACTTACAAATCGGTGATCCACTTTGCATGTTGTCTGCTTGCATTTTGGAACAAGTGGTTCCTCTGGTTCCCAGCATGCTGTTTTGGGTGTGTGTGTGTGTGTGTGTGTGTGTGTGTGTGTGCAGCTTCTTGCCACTAGGCCACCAGAGCTCCCTAGCATGCTGAATTCTTCTCAGAGTTCTCCCACTGCTGAGGATAGGACCTTCTCTTCAAAGCTGCATGGGCTTGAAGGACAGAGTTCCCAGATGTCCAGCTGTGGAAACATGGCTGGGACTATTTTCCTCATCTTGTCGGGTCACTCTGAGTCAACTAGAAGGCAGTAGGCCTATGGGTGGCATGCCTCATGTTGGCCCACTTGGCTGGCCCAACCTTCCAAATAAACACTGGGAGCCACTTGCCACCCTAGAGCCAATGAGTGGGGCTTCCCATTCATTCTGCCATTTAGGGAGTTCTCAGCTGAAGCTGGCATGGCTGAAGGTGGAGAGAAGTGGAGAAAAGCCAAGGCCAAGCTCTGTCCTTCCTCATTTCTTCTCTGTGTTTTGGCTTTTTGATTTTCTAGTGTAATTTTCAGTCTCTTCTGATAGCCATTTTGGTCTTTTCTTTCTTCTCTTTGTAATGACATATTTGCTTTCTTCCTGGATGGTATCCTTGAATTCATCAGGTCTTCTATTATTAGTGCTCAGAACACTGAACTTATTTTTGAGGTGGTTTTTAAATTTAGGTGGGATAGACTCAAGGGATAGGAAACACCATGATAGATGGAGAAAATACTAAAGTTGTCAACTATTTCATCTTCCTTAGATCCACAGTCAACCTTCTTGGTACTAGCAGTCAAATAAAAAGATGAGTGCTCACTTCTGCCGCACATATACTAAAATTGGAACAATCTAGAGCATGGGCCTTTGACAAGGATGACACATAAATTTGTGAAGCGTTCCATATTTTTTTAAAAAGAATAATCTTGCTAAACATCCCCCCCCCCAAAAAAAGAGTAAGAAATCTGTTGTCAGGACTTCTCCAGAGTTGTAAAGAACATTGATATAAATTTAAAGACTAAGGTGTGCCTGATCTAAGCCATGGTCTTATCAGTTTCTTGCTATGCATCTGAAAATTGGACAATAACTAAGGATACTAGAAAAAGAGTTGATACCTTTGAGGTGTGATATTGGAGAAGACTGCTGACCTTTTCATTAGCCACCTCGTGCTGAATAGCCTGTGAATTGCCAAGAGAACAAATAGGTCTGTCTTGGAGAAAATGAAGCTAAGTTGCTCCGTGGAGTCAAAGATGTTGAAACTCCGTCTCACATACTTTTGGACGTATTGTCAGTAGGGGTGAGTCCTTGGAGAAGGACGTCATGCTTAGAAAGATGGGGAGTCAGCCTAAGAGGGGGAGAATCTCAACAGATGGCTCAACATGGTGACGGTAACAGGGCTCAATGTCAGAGATGGTGAGGCTGGCACAGGATGGGGCAGAGTTCAGATCCTTTGTTTAGAGGGTCGCTATGAGGCAACGGTCAACTTGATGGCACATAACCACATACTGCTCACAGGAAGCTCTAGGGGCATAGAGGTAAGCAGATGTGCTGCCAACCCAAATCCCCCAGCCACTCCGAGGGACAAGGATGGGCAGTCTCCTCCATGCAGTTTACACCCTCTGAAAACCTGCTGGAGGGTCAGTGCTGGGTCAGTTCCAACTCAGCAGCACATACCAACGCCACTGCCCATCGTGCCCATCACTCCCATTCTAGGGAGCATGTCGAGGCTATAGCCAGAGTCCGTTCTGACCCATAGCACCCCTGTAGCGTCAGTCAGAGCTGCCCCTTAGGGCCTCCAAGACTATGATCCTTACAGAAGTGGACTCTCTACTCTTTCTCCCACAGAATGTCTGGAGGGTACAAATTGCTGACCATTGGTTAGCAGTTTAGCACTTCAGCCAGTGTACCACAGGGCTCCTAGAAGGTGATGTATGTTAAGATAAAAAGATCCGAGTGAGTTGGTAGAGATTTTCTGGTCTGTTCCCTTTGTCTTGTAGAAACAAGATGAATGACTGGTAAAGCCAGGGCTAGAAGCCAAGTCTCTGGTATCCACCCCAGTACTTTAGGGTTGTTAGTGAGAACCCTTAAAACTCCATGAGGCTTCAACCAATGAGTCAGCATAGAGGGAGTTATATGGGCCTAACATCACCCCACTCACCCCACAAACATACACAGCCCAGTGCAGTGTGTCACAGGGCAGAGAATGATCTTTGGAAGAGGGGACAGAAGTGATGCAAATAGAGCCAATTAACTCTTAACACAAAAAACTAGAGTCCCCAAGTAGAAAGGGGCTCCTGAAGGGCCTTCGTCCCTGGCAGTGGGGGACTGGCTTGGAAAATCAGGCTCCCTTCTCAATGCTGTTGTTGTTGTATGCCCTGGAGTCGACTATGACTCAGAATGGCCCTATGCACAATAGCTCTGAACCCTGCTCTATCCCAGTCTCTGACACACCTACCCTCATTATCCAGTTGTGTCAGTCCGTCTTATCTGGAGTCTTCCTCTCCTGTGCTGTCCCTCAACCCTTCCAAGCATGGTATCTTTTTCCAAAGACCCGGCCCTTCTGGCTACATGCCCAAAGTATGTGAGGCAGAGTCTCAAAATCCTTGCCTCCAAAGAGACTGGTTTCACCCTCTCCAGGACAAACCTGTTAGTTCTCTTGGTAGTCCATGGTATGTTCAATACTCTTTTCCAGCACCACCGCTCAAAAGCATTGATTCTTCTTCTGTCATCCTTGGTCATTGTTCAGCTCTGTGATGGATAGCAAGTAATTGCAAAGACCATGGCCTGGATCAGGCGCACCTTAGTCTCTAGACTCATATCCTTGCTCTACAGCACTGTAGAGAGGATCCTGACAATTTTCCTAACACAGTTCACCTTTTGAGTTCCTGACTACTGGCTCAAAGAATGTTGATTCTGAAACTGAACAAGCTGAAATTATTAACAATCTTAGTCATTTCTCCATCTATCATGATGCTGCCAATTGGCCCAATGGTGAGAATCTTCATTTTCCTGATGTTGAGCTTCAATCCGTATTGCAGACTCCAGTCCTTGACCCTCTGCAGCAAATGTTTCAGGCCCTCCCAGATTGAGCAAGTAAAGTCATCTGCATAACACAGGTTGTTGATGAATCTTCCTCCAATTCTGACACCACACTCCTTAAAGTCCAGCCTCTCAGATGATCTGTCTGCACGCAGACTGAAAAGGTATGGAGACAGGACACATTCCCTGATGCATTCCTTCCCTGATTCTGAACCATGCGGTGCTTCCTTGTTCTGTTCTGATGACTGCCTCCAGGTCTAAATAGGTTTCTCTATGTTGTTGTTATGTGCCGTCGAGTCGCCTGCGCGGTTTCTCTATAGCAAAAGGAAATTGTCAGGATCTGAAGAACTGGTGTCCACTCTCCATGGGGAGTCTCAGCTCCTCAGGCGGGCTTGCTCTGTTTCTCCCTTGGGTAACTCCTCACTGCCCTTCCTCCTCTCAGAGCCAGGTACCTGCTGCCCTGCCAGACCGGGAGGCGTGGCAGCTCACACATTTACTCACACATTGCTCTGGGAGCCTAGTGCATAGGAGTTCGTGATTCGAATCCACTGGCTGCTCCTGTGCGATCTATAACCTCTGAAAATCGCCTCGATCAGCAGAGTAAGATCGAGCGGGAGATTAGGGAAATAGCCCGCGTGTGTGTGTCCCCCCAGTCCTCTTCCTGTCCCCATTCTTCCCCCTCTCCCCTCCCTGAGAGACTTCCTGCCCCAAAACAGGTCTGTCCTGAGACAACCTGGAACTCTGGGAGGACTGAGCACTTGGAGCAGCCACACCCCTCTGTAACCTGAGAAGGCTGAGTGACAGATCAGCCACTCTCATTAAACTGAAAGAACTTAATATGAAAATGATTTTTATTCCTAAGTAAAAAGCCAGATGCTATCAAGATTATGAAAATCTGGCCAGAGGCCATGAAGGACAGAAAGAAGACTCTCTTTGGCCTAGTTCTGTGCCCCTGTACAGCGCCCTGGGGCAAATGGGGCCTCAGCAGAAGACTCGGTCAGTTGTGAGGTGTGTGAGGGAGGCAGAATCTGCCAGCCCCCCAGAGGGGCCTGGCTCTGGGCTCCTCAGAGCCTCCTTGGAAATGAGGTACTGGCTGCCTTTGGGGTTCCCAGGAACAAAGAGGAGTGAGATAGGGAGGGAGACATGAGCTTTCCTGTGCTCTGGAAAATGGTTTGGTTTGGTTTTTATGCCTGTGGCTGCAAGTACTTAGGACGGGAATTGAACATGACACTGGGGTGCTGTCTGCCCCAAAGGCACCGCCAGGCTCTACTGCATGCCATTTTCAGAGAAGTGTGAGCCCTTGGCAGGAAGACATGAGGCTGAGACTTAAGGCTTCAGGAGGTCAGGCTGCAGTGACAGGGCCTGGAAGGCCCTGAGGAAGACGACGAGGCCCAAGCATGGCTGCAGGAGTGAGGAGCGTTCAGGCAGAGCTGTGCTTCAGTGGTCTCTAAGTAGTGTCTGGTGGGCGGGCGCGAAGGGGGCACTCAGGCCTCGCCTTCCTCTTCGCTGTCATCCACACTGGCCTGCCTCGTCACCTTGCGGACACTGGGGGTGGAGGGACAGCCAGCCTCCCCCTGGCCCTTCTCCTGCTTCTGGAAAGCCTGGGTCCTGCTGGCCACCAGAGCGGCACTGTGGAGGGCGACCACGGACTGGTGGGACTTCAGGGCAGGCCAGGGCCCCTTCCGGCGTCGCCGACCACCCCTGCCCCTTGATGGCTGAGGGAGGGGCTGTGGAGGGTCTTCCTTTGAAGAATCATTAGAAGGAAAAACCTGGAAGTAAGAGGACAGGGCAAGGTCATGAGACATCTTTCAAAAGAGGACTTATCGTAGTTCCTATTTTGCCAAACATTGAGCACAGACAAAGCCTGGCAAAAGGCAGACACAAAATGTTCTTTGAATGAATGCAGAAAAACTGAGCTCCTCATGGGTCCTAAATTGTTAGGAGGGAGAGCAGCACCCAGCCCTATGGTCCTGCCCATCACCTCTCCATCACTTCCTCCTAGGCCTCAGCACTCCCTCCACCCACCGTGGCCTTGAGGCAGGGGCTGCCTGACCCTTCTTCTTCTTCTTCCTGTCCCCTCTGTCTTTGCATCTGGTGAGTGAACCAGGGGGCCAAGCTCTGAACTGGACCATGTAGGTGCCCATCTGGGAGCTGAGTGAAGCCAGCCTGCCCTTAGAGTGCCCACGCTTGTACACCCAACTCTCCATCCCTCACTGTTCTCCACTCCCCGTGCCCCTTCCCCCAGGGAGCCTCTTCCAGTCTCCCCAACCTCCGTAAGCTCTTCCTTCCTCCCTCAGAGGAAGTCACAAGTGGGGTTGGCTTCCTTGGACACTATCGTGTCTCCTGTTTGGGCACCCCCCGGGCACCAGAGGCTGCTCCGTTAGCTGGTCCTCCTCCTGGACTCAGACTGGACTCGCTGAGACCTCCTGCCCTGAAGGAGCCTGAGGTGCGCGCTCAGAATAAGTGCTCCCTGCCTGCGCTCCCAGGGATGTGGCTCCTCCTCAGGGACCCACAGGACAACTGGAGAGGCCCAGTGCTGTGAGCAGATGGTGTGGAGGAGACAAGAGTGGGAGACCCCACACAGTGGGGGTGCAGAGTGGGCCCGAACACCTCCTGCTCAGAGCCTAAAGCTGAGCCCCAGTTGTGGTCTGTCTCTGCTCAGCCCGTCAGCCCCCACCGCTGGGCCTCTGCTCCGTCCAAGCCCAGACTCACCTCTGGCAGGTCACCCTCCCCTGATGTGCTTTCCAGCTCCTCCTCGGAAGGCTCCAGAAGACTGATGGATCGCATGACCCCGCGGAGGTTGATACGGGGCCGCGTCCCAGGCTCTTCCTTTGGGGCTGCCTGGCTCTCCTCTACCTCACCCCCAGGCTCTGGGGGCAGAGCTGGGAAGGGTGTAGAGACTTCTGGGGCCAGTGGCTCCTCAGGGGAGACCTGGCCCGCTTTCTGTTCCCAGACCTGGCTCTGCCGGCTGCAGGGGAGGGGGTGGCTCTAAGTCAGCTTGAATGAGCAATGGCAACCCCCCCCCATGCTCACACCCCCTCCTGACCCGTGTCCTGGTCTGTGTGCCCCATACCTGGCAGTCAGGATGCCCTGGTAGGTCTGCAGCTGGCGCAGGAAGCCGGCATTGGGGCGGGCAACGGGCCGCAGCTCCTGCACGTGGCGCAGCGCCTGCTCCAGGCCCCAGCCGTACTGCTTCATGGCGTAGGCCATGACCGTGGCCGCTGAGCGGCTCACACCCATCTTGCAGTGCACTAGCACCCGAGTACCCTGGGCCCTGGGGGTGGGAGAGAGTTGGCTCTGTGCTCCCACCCTCACTGTGGTTGAGTGGCAGGAGGAGGGCAGAGGGCCCACCCGCAGCCCAGGACGGGTGGGTAGCCGCACCTGGCGGCCTCGATGAAGCGGTGTGTCTCCTTCCAGTGGGGCAGCAGCTGGGCTGACTCCTCATCCCAGAGCCGCACGTTGTGGTAGGTGAAGCGCTCAGGGTAGAAGTTGTCAATCTCCCGGGCCACATTCAGGATGTGGCTGACCCTGCAGCAGAGGGCCCAGGGCCAGGCTGACTGGGTAGGGCCTGGCAGCTCCGGGCCTTCCCATCTGCCCAGGTTAAGAGAACCGGGGGAGGCGGCCTCACAGGTGGAAAGGCAGGAGCAGGAGCTGCTGACTGGCTGTGAGGGACGCCTCGTTGCCCATCCAGCCCACCGGCCTGTATCCATCTCTGATACTTGTTAGAGGACAGTTTCTGAGTGGGATCTGTGGGTGCTAGGTGAGCACCCTGCACGGTTTCCCAGAAGCCTCTGGGGCATGGGGGGCGGTTAGAGGCTGGTGCAGGGGGCCCTCCTGCTGCTCCCCTACCTGTTCCTCTGCAGCTCCTCCAGATTGGCTGCATTCCACTCGGAGCCCTGTGGAGAGAAGGAGGGGCCATTCACCCTGGCCTCCAGCCCCGGGAGCAGGTCTGCTTCACGGGAGCAGCCCCCACCGGCTACACACCAGGTAAAGGTGGGGAAAGATGCGCGAGGCCCGGTCCTGCTGGGCCATGAGCAGCAGCATCTGGTTGTCGATGAAGTCGCGGTACTGCTGCAGCGGGCAGCCCAGACGCTGCTCCAGGGTCTGGCGAATCTACAGGAGGAGCAGAAGGGACGAGGACACCTTAACAACTCCTGTCTCCCCACCCTTTCCTGGGAGCCTTACAACCTTTTCCCAAGGAGGCCAGGGCATTCGGAGTGACCCAAGATGGGAAGAACAGAGAGAGCCTCAACTTACCTCCTTGGATGTGACACTCTCCAGGTCACTGGTGTCCAGTACCTCCCACAGCTCTGCTCGGATCGCCTGCTCCATCTCGTCCTGCTCTGAGGGCCTAGAGGCCAGGCCTGTCAATCCAGGGCAGGCTCACTGCTGTCCCTCCCCCCATTTCCCTCACACTGACCGGCCAGTCTCAGCACTGGGTGGCCGCAGAGACTCCAGGTCGGCCATGGCCATCCACTCGTTGAGACAATTCTGGTCCGAGCTCACTCTTTCCTGGTAGTGGGCAGCCCAGGTGAGGGCACTGCCCCCTGGCACCAAACCACTGCCGAAAGCCACCTCACATGCCTGGTGCAATACCTGGAGTGTGGCCCTGGGGACAAAAGCAGAGGCTAGGCCATCCTCTCCTCCCTGCTGCCCCTCCCCAGGCCTCTAGCATCTCCCAGGATGAAGCTAGCCCAAGTCTGGCCAGCCCCTGCCCAGCCCAGCCTTACCACATGGTCTGGATGGAGATGGGTTTGAAGATCCGGCTCTGCCCACCAGAAGTCACGCTGAAGCCCCTGCAGAAGAGCAGGCAGGTGGTCAGCTCAGAGGACAGGTCACTTGTTGCCACCTCATGAGTCTGCCCTCAGAGTAATGGACACATTGACCAGCTATGGGGAGGCAGAGGGTGGAGGAGGCAGCCTGGCCAGCCCACTGAGCAATTTCTAAGGGTGGACAGAGTGGGGTCTTGGAATCCTGGCTTAGGGGTCTATGTTCCCAGGCACCCAGCCCATCACACCCTCCTGTTGGCGCCTCTTACCCATCTCCATCCAGGTACACCTGGGTGTCGCTCCAGAGGGGTAAGACTAGACCCAGGGTACAGCTGAGGGAGCTGGCAGGAGACAGGGGAAACCGTCATCCTCCAGCCCCTCAGCTCCTACCACCCCTCCTCTGCCCGCTCCCACCTGCTGTCAGGGAAGTCCACCCCCAGGAGGACTGTCTCTTCCTGGATCAGGTGTTCTTTTGTGGACACTACCAGCAGGTAGCGGAGCCGAGGAGGCCGGGCTGCCTCCAGCTGGGCCGCCTGGGGGAGATGGAGAGAGAAGGCCAAGGTAAAAGTGGCCTAGAAGGCTGCTGCCCAGGCCTGGAACATCGCCTCTGATGCCCCCATGCCCATTCCCACCCTTCCCAGACACAAGGTCCTCTAATCCACAAGGTCCCACCCTTTGAATGTCACAATCCCACAAAATGCACTAATTTTTTTCTTAAAGAGAGGGTTAGATGAAGTAAAGAATGGTTTAAAAGGAATATATGATTAGTTATTACATGTATCACAACAGTCCAGAATAAGAGGTATACTGCAAAGAGGACTGGGGGGAGCAGGGGGAAGGAGGGAGGTAATTGTGCAACAATGAATGAATGAAAATCTAACATTTCTGTAAACTTTGATTAAAATACTAATTAAAATCTATTTTTAAAAAGGAGGGTTATGTAGAGAAAAGAGATGGGGGAACTGACAGCATCCTCAGTTTTTATTTCTGTCTTGTAAACATGGGCATAGCCACTCTTGCCCCACCACATGTCATCTTTAAGAAATATTTTATCAGCATTGAAACACATAGGACATAAGCTCCAGACCAAGGATGTGATCCCCCAGGGCAATTCCTCTTGTTTCCATGATTTACTACAGATGGTCACAGGTGTTTAGGAACCTGTATGCTCCAGTACCCTAACTTTCCCTCCCCCAGATGTGCTGACCTCCCCACTGTCTGTCTCCTACCCCAGCACACCAGCCTCCAGCAGGCTCCCAAGAGCCCTCCCTAAGCCCTGGTCCGCTCTGGACAACTTGTGACCAGAAAGCTTTTCTAGCAGAAATAGGCCATTGTGTCATTTCTAACTCTGGATGCATTAGGCCCTGGGGGCTCAAAACAAATCTTCCAGGCCCTTCTACGGTCCTGAAGCCATGACTGGCTCTGCTAACACTTCTTAACAGAAAGAGCAGGAACCTCTGAGGATTAAAGGATGCCCTATGCTCCCAAAGTGCCTGTGGCCTCACACCCTGTCCCCCACGCCTCAGGTGGCTCTGCCCTCTCACCAGGCGGATGTCGTCCTGGGGCCTCAACAGCCCCACCATGGTGTGCAGGCGCTGTCTCTGTTCCTCCTCCTGAGGGTTCTGGGGTCCCTGCCCACCGTCAGTCTGGTCTCCGGGGGTTTGCACATCACCTGGGGGCTCTTCCACTGGCTCAGAGGTGGCCTCAGCCCCATCTCCACTGTCCCCTTCGTCCTGTAGTCTCAGGACAGCCCCTCGAAGCACAGCAAAGCTCTGCCTGGCAAGGTGAGAGTAGAAGGGTGGCCACTTTCACCCCTCTCCCCAGCAGTGCTTCCCAAACATGACAGAACCACCCACAGGCCTCATAAAACAGATCCTGGGCTCCATCCACATTAACTGATTCCCAGGGAGCCCAAGTGGCACCATGGTCAAAGTGCTTGTCTGCAAAGCCAAAAGTCGGTGGTTCAAACCTGCCAGCCACTCCCTCTGAAGAAGAAAGCTTCCAGCTTCTCTAAAGATGACCCCGTTGGAAACACTATGGGCCAGTTCTTTGTTCTACTCGGTTTTCACTATGAGTCAGGATGGACTGGAAGGCAGTGGGTTTGGTTTGGGCAACTAGTTCCCAGATGACACTGTGACCACACTTTGCGGCCTTAGGGGCTCTTGCACCCCAGCCATCTCTCCTGTGTGAAGGTGGAGACTGCTAGGCCTTTTCTCTTCCTACCCACCCACCTTGGGAAATGCTGAGGGGGCAGGGGGAGGTCCTCAGGTTCACTCTGTCCTGCTCTCTGGAGCCAAGTCTAGGGTGGTGGGTAAAGGAGCCCTGCCTGCCCCAAGGGAGGGTGGAGGCAAAAGTGACCAGCCAGCCTTTGGCAGCAAGTCTTCCAGGGGGCCTGCTGGCCCTGCTCTCCCGGTGCAGTGGTGGTAGGCAGGCCTGGGCTGTATGGGGGTGTCTGTTTGGGGAAGCCTCACCGTCGCTGGAGTCGGCTTCTCCGTTTTGATGCTTGGTCCTGCTGAGAAAGTGGTTTCCAGGGTTGAGAGAGAGAAGGAGGCTCCTTCTCCTGTGCCCTCTCAGGGTCTTTGGAGGGGTGGGGTGCTCTGGGGACCTTACTGCCATCCCTGCAGGGGGCGAGACTCCTTAGCGGGGGGCCTGTTGGCTAGAAATGGTATTGGAACCGCTCCCCTTCCTTCTCTAGTCCACAACGCACCCGGGGGTCCGCGGGGCTGGTTCCGATTCTGGGCAGGGAAGTGGGGGCTCTGCGGACAGACTGGCTGAGGGTTCCAGCTCTCGGCGCGACCCCCGCCCCCTCCGACCTGCATTTAGGATCTTTCTCCTGGCGCACCCAGGCTCGAGGGGAGGCTGCCCACGAGCAGACGCGCTCCGCAGGCCCAGCTGCTAACCTACTACGTGGGCAGGACCGCACCACCACCACCACCACCAGACTCACTGTGGGTCCCACGGGCGTGGAGTGGCCGCTGGCGGGGGGCGAGCGGCTGACGGTGACCAGGGCCATGGTGCGAGACCGGGGCACCTGGACTGGCTCTGCGCACAGCCCCCTCCCTCACCCCACGGACGGTGCGTGCCCGGCAAGACCAGGAAGGAGAGCGCGGAGCCTCCAGGGCCTGGCACCTCCCTGGGGGCGGCCCTTAAAGGGCCAGACGCTCTCCCGGCCGGCGTGTGCAGCCGGCGCTGAGCGGAGCGGCCCCTCCCTTTGCGTCTCCGCCCAATTCCGCTCTGGGGGCGTGGCCAGAACGGGGGCGTGGTCGGAGCAGGGGCGGGACGCAGGTGCGGAGTTGGCCTCCGGGAAGGGCGAGCGGGTGATCCCGGCTACCTGTCCCGCCCTTCCCGGGATCTCGGCCCCCACCCCGGAAGCGCCCTGTCCCGGCCTCCCGGGCCCGCAGCTAGGTCGCCTGGGTGCTGCTGCGAGAGCTTCCACCGCTGTACTGAGCAGGATGGGTGAAGATCAGTCCTCATGGCCCGTGGGCCCCCATCCAGAACAGATCTCGCTGCATGGACAGACCTCAAGCTCCTAACCTCCTGCTGGGTGTGTCACTGGGGAGCCTCGAGGCTTCCGGAGAAATCAGCTAGGGGGTTAGAAACAACCCACTGTGCGCACCCGGGATCATCTCAGAAGTCAGCAGGGCAGGGGAGAACTGGCTAAGAATGGCCGGGGGTGTGGCTTGTCCCACTTGAACGAGATTCACAGGAGCCAGATTTGAGCTGGAAGATTAGAGATTTAGCCTCCCCCCTCTAGTTCTGAGGAAGCCAGACTGGGTGGCAAAGGAGATCGGGCCCCCAGTAGGCGAACAGTGCTCAGAGAGGTGCCAGCCCCCAGCACCTGTGTGCTCAGCTCAGCCTCCCAATATCCCTGGCAAGTGGGGTGGCCTCTTCCTTCTGCCACTGAAGAAACAGGATCAGAATGACAAACAGAGCGGCACCCAGGATTCCAGCCCTGTGTGAGCTCCCTTCTCCAGCACCAGTCCCAGGCTGTCTCTAGAATTGGGCCCATTGAGCAGAGCAAACCTGCTGCTGAAAGTCTCTTTATTTCTATCACGGTTTCCATGGCTTGCCCATCCAGGCTCCAGACCCCAAGCTCAGCAGCACACAGTTTATAAATAAATAAATTATAAAAGCAGAGGGGTGGCAGCCCTCCCCGGGCCTGCCCTCCCCCCGGCCTGCCCTCCCAGGTCCTGCCACTCAGTGCTCTGTGAGTGACAGTCGCAGAATCCGCTGCAGGTCTTCCTCCTCCTGCTGTCCTCTCCGTTCCCGCTCCTCCTGCTCCCTTGAAGACAGCTCCAGGGCCAAGCGAAGCTGCTCCTCAAAGCTTGGAGGTACTGGGGAAGGAGGCGTCCTGTGTGGGGACCCTGGGCCCCCAGGTTCCGTGGAGAGCCGCAGGCTTTCCTGGAGGGCTCTTCCATGGGAGAGAGAAAGGGAAGAGTGACCAGTGAGTCCTGTCACTCCACGCTAGGGGAGGTGGCCAGGACCAGCCAAAGCGACAAGGACTGGCTGGAGGCAGGAGTAAACCCTCCCTCACTACCCATGGTTCAGGGTGGCACTCCTGCTGCGGGCAGTCTTTGGATGGCACAGGGCTCTGAGCTAAATCGCCCTGCTCCCCACTCAGCCACACTGTTGGGTCACCCTGGGCAGTGAGGTCAAGCATGGCCACCAGGGGGCTGCTCTGCAGGCTCACCGCTCCAGCTGAAGCTGCTCCTCGTACACCGTGGGCTGGGGGGGCGGGTGGGTCCCAGGCCGGGCGCTGGTCAGGGCCTCCCAGACGGTCACCTGCAGCAGCAGAAGTCACAGCTACCATCCACGTCCGATGGCCTCGGAGGCCAGGCCCCTGCCAGCACTGTGGCCCACCTGCTCTGCCTCAGTGCCAGCCTGGAGAAGGCTCTGCTGGATGGCAAACTGCAGCAGGTCATCATCCTCGTCCCGTAGGGGCTCACTGCGTTCTGCGCCCAGCACACTGTAGCCCTCGGGCACCTCGAACACGGCAGGGTCCACCTCACATGGAAACGGGCTCCCTGGGCAGGCAGCACGAGGTGCCGCTGAGACCTGGGCTCTTCGCCTGATGAGCCGAGCTGCCCATCCCTCCCAGCCTGAGGCCGTCCCAGCCGATACCTGAGGCCGCAGAGCCAGGGGCTGGCACCCACACGGAGCTCAGGGGCTCATCACAGCCGCACAGGTTGCTGAAGGTGATGCGGGCGTTGAGCACGTGGAAGAGGGGGATTTCTGTGGGAGATGGCAGATCTGAGCGGCACCTACGGACTGGGTGTCCCCGGCGACCCTCAGTCACACCTCTGGTGAAGAACCGCCCCACTCGGGCTACCAGCTGGTCCTCACCGATCTTGACGGGGAAGCCAGGAGGGAGGCACAGGGTGATGAAGTCTCGGAGTTTGGCAAAGTGGGCATTGCTGATGGCCATCAGGTCGATGATAGGGGTCACCTGGTCCCCCAGGGACAGTGGGTGCTCCTCACTCAGCCACAGGGTCGCCTTGAACCTGCCCAGCCAAGCACAGTGAGCAGAGGCCCTCACAGAAGCCCTGTCGGGACATTTGCATTTCCTGTGCCCAAAGGGTGCCCTTCTCGGTTCGGCTGTTCTCCCAGCCCTGGAGAGCTGGCATCTTTCCGTCTTGCTGGCCCAAGCTGCCTACCGACCTGGGGTCCGATGAAGGCCATGGTGGTTTTGAGGACAGGGCCGGGAGGGGTGCTGCCCTGCAGCTTTGACCACACCTCCATCCTCCTAAGCCACAGCCTCACGCTCTGCTGTAGTGTCAGGGGCCGGGACTGCTAAGGTGTGAATCCCACCCCCGACACACCGGGCCACAGAGACCGTTCCGGCTTTATGAAGGAAGAAGTCACATAGGAGAGGGGAGCCTTTTCTTGGGCCAAGCTGAAGTTCCTAGCACCCAGCCCAGGATCTGCACCCCTCTAACTCTGTGCTGGCCACAACAGGGCTCAGAAAAGACGCACTGAATTGAATCAAAACCCAAACACAGCTTTTTCACTCATTCATTCATTCACCGAGCAGGGTTGATTCTGTGGGCCCCAACCCCTTGTTCAAGTGGGCCTCCAGAAGAACAGGAGCCTGAAGCAGCTCGGGGGGATCCCTGCCACCAAATTAGGTCCCCACCCAGGTGGCCTCAGGTCTCACCTCTGTACTTTGCTGGACATCTCGATAGGGCGGCCAATGTTCCGAGACTCCAGGCTGAAGTTGGGGTCAAAGTATTCATCGGGAGAAATGGCTGTGGGGTTGGTGGCACTGGATGCCTGCTGTACAGGGGCCTGGAGGGCCCAAACTGGCTGAGCATAAAGGAGGGGCCTGACCATGGTTCACCCCTCCCGACCCCGGCCCGGCCCCGCCCTGGCTCACCCCATTGTGGTAGGAATGCTGCTGGGCCATTCCGAGGAAGGACTGAAACGGAGTCTTGCCCCCTGAGGAGATGCGACAAGAGCCATGAGGGGGTTTGGGGCCACTGTCCCCAGGCCCTTGCCCTCCCAAGTGTGTGCCTGGAAGGCTCCTGTGTGAGAGAGGGGCAGGCAGAATGGGGCGGCCTCCCTGCTTGACCCGGGATGCTCTGGCCCATGGCCCCGGACCAGGGCAGCCCTGTCATGCGGTGTGAGCGGGCAGCAGCAGGCGCACCTGGGTTTACCTTTGCTCCTCGACTTGTCTTGATCAGACAGATGCTCTGTGCGGGTGCGTGTCACCAGCTCCACGTTGGTGGCACTGTACACCTGAGGGGAGCGGAGGGACAGAGGCTCAGGGCCAACCCCACTCTCACAGAACCCAAGTCCTCTGTCCCCAGAGATGCTGCCCCAGGGATGAAGGGGGTGGCAGCGTGTGAACCCCAGGGGTCACCAATGAGTGACAGTGCCCCTTGCCCCTTCCTGGCACTCCAGGTGGAGGCTCATGCTGTGGGTGGTCCCAAGATGCTCAGCAGAGGCTGGGCACCAGGCCCATTGAGCTTGCATGGCCACACAGGGCTCTGGAACCGAAGGGCCCATCTGTCTCCCTCCCTCTGTATTGTGGTGAACTTGGTGAAGGCGCCGGGTCTGAGGCTCCGCTCCCACCCCAGGTCCTCGGTGCTAGCCTCTCCTGCCTTGGCCTCGTAGCCGCTAACAGTTTCCATCTTCTCGGATCGCCAGCCCCAGATCCCACATTTGTTCCTGAAACAGAACAAACAGGAGCCTGGTGAGGACCTCTGCCACCACCCTGCACCACCATTTAGCCTGTCTCACCCACCCTGAGGCCTTGAAGAGGCTGCCTGGACAACTGGGGACATGTGAAGGCCTGGGGAGTAGAGGCTGTTAAGGAACTAGCAGGAATCAGCAACGTTAGTGGTGATGGTGTCAGGGCTGGGTTAGAAAATGGCCTAACCTCTTAAGAGTCACGCACAGAGCATTTACTGTTGACGTGCTAGGATGCTTGTAAAGTGCTTTAAAGCACTCCAGACAAAAAGAAAAGAAGGCGAGGAAGGCTAGATGAAACAAGATGGGAAAAGGTTGATAAATCTGAAGCCGGGGGATGGCCTCATGGTGCTGTCTCTCTTTGATCATGTTTACCGAGGAGCTTTGAAAACCCACTGGATGGGCAGTCTCCTCCCATGTAACCTACTGCCTCTGAAAACCTGAAGTTCTGACCCAACAGCAAACAACAACAGTAAGGAGCTCTGGTGGTATAGTGAGTTACATGTTGGCCAAAAGGCTGGTGGTTCAAATCTCCATGGGAGAAGGATCTCGCTTCATGATCTCCAGCCTCGGAAACATGAAGGATGGGGCGTCATGAACTGGAGCTGACACATGGCAGGGAGTTTGGGGGGCTTTCATGTTTCACAATAAAAAGTTAAAAAAGCGTGTCTAACCTAACAACTTTTTTAAAAAATAAACTTTTTATTTTATACTGGTTTACTTGAAAAAAAAAAAAAGAGTATGTCTAATTCAACAATAATAATTGAAGACTTCTATGCCCCATATTCAATGATGGATCGAACAACTAAACCAAAGAAACAAGGAAACAAAAGGCTTTAAACAACAGTCCTTTTCAGAACACGCCACTCAACAACTAGTCTTCTCAACATACAGTCTTCTCAAGCACACACACACGAGACATTCTTCAGAAGGGACCAAACGCATGGTCATATAATTTCGGTACAGTTAAAAGGATAAATTGAGCCTTTCTACAAAGATGGCACTCAAAGCGAAGAAGGAAGCCCCTGCCTCTCCCAAAACGAAAGCCAAAGCAAAGGCATTAAAGGCCAAGAAGGCGTCCTGAAAAAGAAGATCCACACGTCACCCACCTTCTGGCGGCCTAAGACACTGAGACCCCAAAGGCAGCCCAAATACCCCAGAAGAGCGCCCCCAGGAGAAACAAGCTTGACCACTATGCCATCATCAAGCTTCCCCTGACCACTGAGTCAGCCAGAAGACAGACGATAACAACACAGTTGTGTTCATTGTGGATGTCAAGACCAACAAGCACCAAATCAAACAATCTGTTAAAGAGCTCTATGACTTTGATGGGGCCAAGGTCAACACCTTGATTAGGCCTGATAGAGAGAAGAAGGCCTATGTTCAACTTGCTCCTGACTATGATGCTTTGGATGTTGCCAACAAAATTGGGATCATCTAAACTGAGTCCAGCTGGCTAATTCTAAATACAAATTTCTCTCACACACACAAAAAAGGATAAATTGATTATAAGTATGGGGAGGATTTTGCCCCAATGACATAAAATTAGAAATTAATAACAAGGGAAGAAACCCAAAACCTAAGTAACTTACAAAATATATACGCATTAAACAAGAGAAAACCCACTGTGGCTAAGAAGAAACTGGAAGAGAAATGAGCAAATACATCAAGATGAATGAAAATCAAAACATAGCATACAAATATGCAGCTAAAGCAGCTCATAGAGGGAAATTTATAGCTGTAAATGTTTATACTGAAGGGAAAAGAAAAGGGAACTCCTAGGACCAAGAAATTATCTCCAAGACTGGAGTGTGTGTGTCTTTTTTTTTTAACCTGGCCCATGAGTGATGAAATTCCTTGACACCAGGGAAGGACAGGACACATGGGGGTCCTTAGGGAATGCTGGATGCTGAAGGAAACAAAGATGTCCCTTGACAGCCAGCACAGAAAGAGATTTCCACTACAGTCTGTTTCTTGAACTTAGGCTTTGGATTCAGGTCAGAGTACTTAAGAAGAGGATAAGGCACCAGTGAAAACCTAAGGAAAACAAATGATTAGCCAACCACAAAGCAAACGTCCTCCTTAGAGTCAAGGGCTTTGGTGGCCGAGGCAGAGGGAAAAGGGGACGCAGGAACAGGAGACGGCACTGAGAGGCAGGCCTAACTGTCTCCATAAACGACTGTCTCCTTAGCCAGGAGATCAGGAGAACTAGATGGCTACCATGACTGACGATTTTGATCAAGGGATAAACAGATGAATCCTGATCTCAAGGGGGGAAAATGGAATGGAATTAAATTCTTACAGAATCCAGACTTACTGAATCTACTGAAATTAAAATTCATTGCCATCAAGCTAGAACCAAGTCAGAGCTAACCTTCCAGCATATTTCTGAGCTGTAAATTACACTGAAGGAGAGTGCCCATCTTTCTCTGCAGAGCCACTGGTAGATAAAAGGAATTATGACTTTGAAGAGCTCTGGTGGCCTGGTGTAAGGTTACCACTGGCAACCCAAAGTTATGTGGTTCAAACCTACCATCTATTCCACAGGAGAAAGATGGGTAATCTCCCATGCAAATAACTGCCTCTGAAAACTCACTGGAGGGTCAGCTATGGGTTGGTTCCAACTTGATGGTACACGTCAACGTCATCACGACTTTGAAGCAGAGCCCTGGTGACTGAGTGATCAGGATTTGCACTGCCAACCCAAAGGCATGTGGTCTGAATTCTCTAGCTACTTCGTGGGAAAAAGGTGGACAATCTCTTCCCATGCACTTTATCGCCTCTGAAAACCTGCTGGAGGGTCAACTATGACTCAGTCCCAGCTCAACAGTCTATAATAACAACTACAAATGACCTTTAAAAGAATCTTGAATCTATTGCTCTGGGGTGGGGGAAGTCTCCACACCATGAGTCAAAATTACCCCCTGGGGGGAAAAATTATCTCTAAATGAATCTTTAAAGTAAATAATTATTTGGTTAAGTCAATGAAAAAAGTTAAATAAAGAAAGAGAAAGTTCCCCATGTGAGCTGCATTTTTCAAATAATTTTTTATATGAAATCAAACTGTCGCTGGGCTGTAAAGGATTGGAAGCTCAGGGTGTGGCACACAATGGCCAAGGAACGGCACAGCGAGACAAGAACGGTGACTCGTGAGGAAAGGAACCAGTGTTACCAAATCGTACATGTGGGAACTGATGCACTAAATAACTGATGGTGTATATTCTGTGTGTATATTTCATCAAAGATTTTTTTTTTTTAAAAAAAAGAGTGCAGACTAATAACCCAACGGTCCACTGTAAGATACTGCAACAAGCAGAGCACCCCAAAGCTACAGACAGCACAAGAAGGAAGAAACAGAGACTGGAGTAAAAATGAATGGCTGTTGTAATGTACCATCGAGTGGGCATCAGGTCACAGCTGAGGCTCCCATGGGTTTGCAGAGGCAGAAATCACACAAGAGGAGACCGACCATCTTTCTCCTGAGGAGCAGCTGATGGATCCAATCCGCAAGCCTTTGGGTTGGCAGCACAGCGCCGTACCACCAGGCCACCAGAGCTCCCTTAGACGTTAACTACTCAACACTTAAACCATCCAATCAGAGCTGACTGCCGACTGACTCTCCAGCTGGGTTTGGAAGATGACCTGTCTTTCTCCATGGAGCCACGGGTGGATTTGAACTGCCAAAGAGGCATTATCTTTGGGTTCACAGCTCAATTCCTTAAGGACTATGCCATCAGAGATTGGTTGAAATTTATTAATTTATTAGAGAAGATAAAAATAAACAAATCAACTAAAGGCTGATTCTTAGAAAATATCAAAATAGTGAGATTACACACATATCGCCCCCTAAAAAAAGGGGGAGGGGAGTACTCAAATTCCTAGACTAAGAAGGAGAGGTGATGGGCCGCCTTGGAGAGACTGGCTGTGATTATAGTTGTTGTTGTTGTTATGTGCCGTCTAGTCGTTTGCGACTGACTTATAGCGACCCTATGTACAACAGCCCTAAACCCTGCTCTATCCTGTGCCAATCGCATTGCCTGACACATCCATCCCAATTTCCCCAGTCACTGAATCAATCCACCTCATAGAGGG